CCCTTTGCTTTAGCATGGCTGCACATGTTTGTACGGCTTGAGTATGAACTGTCCTAATGATTCCTTGGAACAAGAACATATCAGAAGGCACATTGCTTGGAAGGAAGATCTGTCGAGGCCAATGGCTTCCCATGCGAACATCAGTCCTTTGATGGTTGGTTTGGGGAGCCCTTCCGGGCCAAAGACTTTGAAGGATTCAGGATCAAAGCCTTCCTTCCTGACTGGGCATGGATGACAAGCAAAGGGTCTTGCTGTACTCCCAAGCATCTCACTCCAAAAAGTGAGACTCTCACAGGACTATTGGGTTTATCTCATCTCTCGTGCTTTTCATTGGGGTGGGTGGGAGAGAAACGAAATTCGAAGGGTTGTTCGCAATCCAGGAAATACAAGCGTTTGTTGTATCTATCACTTTACTAGAATCACATCACGCTTTTGTTCTGGCATTAACAAGGCAACCAATATTATACAACAGCAAAATGAGATCAAGCCAAAACTAGCTCAGTGATTTAGGTCTCTGGCTGCAGAGCCAGAGGTTGGGAGTTTGATTCCCCACTTGGGCTTGCATAAAAGAGCTGATGATCCATAGGATCCCCTTCCAGCACTACAAGTCTAAGATGATGATGTGACAAAAAAAATAAATTCCCTGGTTTCTGTCACAAAACGCCAGAGCAATCATGTGGACAAGAAGCCCAAAGGATGGCATCTCCAAGGAGACAGCTGTTTTAATCTGTTGCAAGAAAAACCTTTAAGACCACCCGTTTTTATGGGGCAAGAGCTTCTGCTGTCATAGCCCACTTCTCCAAATGCAAGGAGCATAATATTCAAGCTGCAAACTTATACGCTCGGTGGTTCTGGTTTTCTGGGTCAGCCGGGATGAAATGAGGTACAGAAAATTACTCCTGTACTATTAACGCTGGTCATAAACTTCCAAAGAGCTTGTTAGCAAAACATTACTGCAACAGGAAGGTCAGTTACACAAGGAAATTATTCTTTGAGGTTAAAGGAAAGGATTTAACCAGAGAGTGTCTGTTTTAGCTAAGGCAGAGGTGACCTACTTTGTATCATAGTTCTGTTAGGAAAAGTAATTTACGATCCTGCTGTGCACTGGTCCCCCGACCTGGTCCATGCCCTAAAATGGGCACACCAATTGGCGCCCTCGTTGCCTTGTGTCCTTCTGGAGACACTCTGACCTAATCCTTAACTGGATCCATGCTGATATTTGTGTATTTCCAGCTGTCTGGGGAAAACCCCATTCTCAGGCATGAAAAGATGTAATGGCTGTGACCTTGGATGAGAAGATATACACAGCCATCAGAATTATTTCTGCCAGAATTCTTTGCCCACTTCTATCTTGGAGAACGCAGAAAAGTAAGGAGGGAATACTTATTATGGACACTGGTGGAATCACCACCAAACCAACAAGAAAAGAGAAACAAAAGAGGCTTGGAGTGGGATAAGCCCTCTTATCCTCTAGCAAATAACACCCTTAAACTAATACACACAAGAATGCAGGAATGCATGCTCTCTCTTGCTCTCTCTTTTTCTCTCTCTAATGCTGGGAAAAGTTGAAAGCAGAGGGAAAAGAGGAAGAGCTAATACAAGATGGATTGACTCCATAAAAGAAGCCATGGGCTTGAGTTTCCAAAAGCTGAGCAGGGCTCTTGAGAACAGGACATTCTGGAGATCCTAAACTAATACACACAAGAATGCAGGAATGCATGCTCTCTCTTGCTCTCTCTTTTTCTCTCTCTAATGCTGGGAAAAGTTGAAAGCAGAGGGAAAAGAGGAAGAGCTAATACAAGATGGATTGACTCCATAAAAGAAGCCATGGGCTTGAGTTTCCAAAAGCTGAGCAGGGCTCTTGAGAACAGGACATTCTGGAGATCCTCATTGGGCTTGAGTTTACAAAAGCTGAGCAGGGCTCTTGAAAACAGGACATTCTGGAGATCAGTCATTCATTGGGTCATCATAAGTCAGAGGAAACTTGACAGAATGTAACAACAACAACAACAACAGCTAAGAAGCAACATTTAACAAACAGTCAACAACAACAACAACAGCAGCAGCAGCAGCAGCAGCAGCAGCAGCAGCAGCTGCTAAGAAGCAACATTTAACAAACAGGGAACATGTTTTAAAATGGGCTGTTCCAAGTTCTATGGCTTCCTCTGCTGAATCTCCATCCTTGCTGTTGTCTTAAACAACTGTACATCTAGGCTTCGTGGAGAAGCCAGCTCTTGACTGGCAGTGTTGAATTTCCCATTCTGCAATATCACAGAGCATCAGATGTGAGCCATGTCATGATGGTCATAACAGCCCAGTGTCCAAGCGAAACAAAGTTTGTAAAGGAGCATAACCATGAGATATTTTTGAAGAAGCAACTCCAAAATAATGTGCAGTCAAGTCAATTCTGAGTAATGGTGACCCTTTTCAGTTTTTCCGGATAGAGATTACCCAGAAGTAATTTACCATTCCCTTCTTCTGGGGGTGCCCTAGGACTGTGCAACTTGCCCAAGGCTACACAGGCTGGCTTTTCTCCCAAGTGGTACAGTTGGGGAATTGAACTCCCAACCTCTGGCTCCACAGCCAGAGACCTAAACCACTGAGTTATCTGGCAGTTCAGTGGTTTAAGTCTCTGGCTGAGGAGCCAGAGATTGGGAATATGATCTCCCACAGTGCTTCCTCCTCTGGCTGAGGAGCCAGAGATTGGGAATTTGATCTCCCATAGTGCTTCCTGCAAGTAGAGCCACCCTGGGTAGCCTTGGGCAAGCTGCACTGTCCCAGGGAGCCTCCATTGGAAAGGGAATCTGGCTGAGGAGCCAGAGATTGGGAATTTGATCTCCCATAGTGCTTCCTGCAAGTAGAGCCACCCTGGGTAGCCTTGGGCAAGCTGCACTGTCCCAGGGAGCCTCCATTGGAAAGGGAAGGGTAAAGCGGCAAGCTGCACCATCCCAGGGAGCCCCCATTGGAAGGGACGGGTAAAGCACTTTTGTGTATTTTCTACTTGGAAAATCCTGAAAAGGGTTGCCATAAATCAGAATTGCTTTGATGGCCCATGATGATTATTATTTAACAGCAAAATATTTATGGAGGAAATAAGTCATTTTGTCCATATGTTCCTTTAAAGTGCTTAAATAATCAATCAATCAAACCTGATGGTGGAGCAAGATTGTAAGTCTGGGTGTCTTAAGCACCACAAAATGAAAGCCAAGCCCCTCCAGAATAGCCAAAAGTAAGAACTAGGGTATTTGCAGTCCATCCAAAGGGCAAATATTTCCCTGCTTTATTTTGAGTTTTCAGCATTTCATCAGGGTCTTGAACAGTCCCCAGCTTCCTTTTGTGCTATTGTTTAGTCATCTCCTTTCATATTCCAAACAATGAATAATCCTTGTTCTGAAGCCAAGTTTCCTTTGGGTCAGAAGAGAAAAGAGGCTGTGAGAGCAGAGGAGAAACTCTTAGACCTTTTAGGACTTTGTTTGCTTCCATCCTTTTTTTGCCTTGCTTCTAGTAAATTATGAATCATGAGAAACAAAGCCAAACATGATTCAACATTCTCATGCTTGCTACTCAGGAGCTTAATGGGTAGGACCTTGGCAAAATGCTTTCAGTGAGGATCCAGAACACTCTCATTGAACCGTTAAAAAGGAATGATCACAATACAGAAGTAGCCCAAGTAGTACAAAGGGACAACAAAATGAAATAGATTTCAAAATGCTGCCTACTACACATCCAGCTGAGCCTCAGTACTCCAGATTCAACCAGTCAACAGTAAAAGTTGCTGCTTCTCCATCTAGAAAGAAACAAAGGAAGGATGGTTCTCTCTCTCTCTCTCTCTCTCTCTCTCTCTCTCTCTCTCTCTCTTTTTTTGCAGTGAGATTTTTTTTCTGTCCAAGATCCCCCTTCCCCTACGAAATCTCAGTGATCTCGCAAATCTCTCTCTCTCTCTCTCTCTTTTTGCAGTGAGATTTTTTTTCTATCCAAGATCCCCCTTTCCCTACGAAATCTCAATGATCTCGCACAACTTTCTTGATTATTGTAATTTTTCCCCATTGAAAGAATCATAGAATCTTTGTAGGGTTGGGAGGGACCTTGGAGGTCTTCTAGTCCTACCCCCTGCGCAAGGCAGAAGACCTCAGACCATCCCGGACAGATGGCTGTCCAATCTTTTCTTGAAAACCTCCAGTAATGGGGCACCCACAACGTTGAGAGGCAAGCTGTTCCACAACTTAATGGTTCTCGCCATTAGGAAACTTCTCCTTATTTCCAGGATTGCCAGGTTGCTTAGGGTTATTACAATTTCTGCATTGAACAGTACGTTTTATTCGAAGGATTCATCCCAAAGGGCAGAAGAAATGCTTAGCTATGCAATATTATTGCAGATCCTCCACAGACTCCTATGCAGGATTCATGAGAGACAGCAAAAGAAATGCCAGGCTCTCAGGATTGTCACAATTCCTGCACAGAATGGCATCTTTCCTATGCAGGATTCCTCAGAAAGAAGAGAAGACACACCAAGTTGTGCAAGATCATTACAATTCTTGCATACATTGGCACCTGTCCTATGTAGGATTCATCAGGAAAGGCAGGAATCATCGGATAGAGCAGAAAAAATATATCAAGCTATGCAAAATTATTAAAATTCCTGTACAGAACAGCATCTTTCCTATGCAGGATTGATCAGAGAGGGCAAAAGAAATGCTAAGCTCTCAGGATTGTTACAACTCCTGCACAGAATAGTATCTTTCCATGGGCTGGAGCCAAAGCAGTGGAAGCAAACAAAGCCAATAACACTTGCAATCTTCCCTTGAGGTGGGAGAAAGAAGTATTTGAATGACAGAATATGTTTCCAGTGGGTTTTTCTTTTTAACTGGACCACTTGCTCACTGAAGTTCCCAAAGTGGACAATGTCTTCTATCATTTACCACCCAAAGGCGAGGAGCCATTGACCATCATCCCCAGCCCAGAATTCTACTCGTATAACAAACATCACGCAGGAATGTGGTAGAGAGATATAATGTTTATTTCTTGCTGAAGACTGTTACTTACATCACAATCATGGGTAATTTAACAGTATCTTAAACTCTGTGAAGAAATCTAATAATAAATATGAAAAAAATACTTTATTCCAATGGTCTCTGCAGACGGCCTGGGAGATATATATGTGTGTGTGTTTTTTAAAAATGTATACATATTACATTTTTTAAAACATACTCTTGATTTCATGTTGAATATATAGACTTTATCTTCAAAGGGTAAAAAAATCCATCTGAGTCTTGTTACTCACCACCAAATAAAAAACGAAAAGGAAAATCAATTCATTGTCCAAAGCAAAGGTTAGCTATACATTAATGATGCCACACAGGGAGCGTTCATTGTCCAAGACAGTGTCCCATCCGTAGGCAAAAGGCTCTTCCTTGTAGAAGAAATAGCTGTGGTTGAGTTATTTCACTGCATTTTTTACTGGTTCTTCAGGCTGAAAAATGGAGGAAAAAGGGAGAAAATCTCTTACTGAGCAGCGAGAGAAATAAGGAATCACATTAGGATCCATTGCACAGAGCTAGCAGATATCTATTCAGATCGGACTACAGAGTACAAAAGAAAAAAATGGGGGGAAATTTTCTGTGTGAATTCCATTTGCTAGACACTATCTCAGGGGAGGGCGATTAATTTCTAGGGGGGGGGCACATGAAAAATCTGAACTGTGTTCGGGGGCCGAACCAACTTTACTTAAAAATAAAATGGAACAGTGATGTTATGATAGTTTGTTAATATTCACAAATACTAACGATTTTTTTGCGGTATGTTAAAGATAAGCAACTGACCAACTTTAGTCAAAAAGCTATAAAAGGTTTTGGTGTTCAACTTGTTCATTGAGAGAAATCCAGTCTGTCTTGGGCTTGAACAAGTGCTTGAACACCGGACTGGAGCGATGACCGGCGGGCCGGACAGGAGCGGCTTGTAGGCCGTATGTGGCCCTTGGGCCGCACTTTGGCCAGGTCTGCTCTATCCTCAGCATGGCTGCAGGACGATTCCAGGAGGTACAGGACAAAAAAAACGAGTAAGCGTTTTTCTGAATCATCATCAGGAATGTTGGCAAGTCTTACGGAGAACCCAAGTCTCAAATCCTCAGCCTCGACTCCAAGTCTCAAGTCCTCGGCCCCATGCTCCCCGAGGGTTGGGACTTGGGAGTTGGACCCCAAGACGTGTTCTCTGCGTGCGCTTCTCAGCTGATAGGCCAATGCATGCCTGGAGATAGTGGGCCGCCACCACCTCTGCCCACCTCCACCCACCCCTACCTCTCCCATCCGTCCACTTGCCACTGCGGGCCACCGGCCCGCACCATCTTCAAAGGCAGCAGGCCTGCCTTCCCTTTTAGGAACTGTGCTGCTGCCCCCACCCAAGCATACGCCGGCCAGCTGATGGGGGAGGCAAGTCAGGCCCCTGTCTCTGCGCATGTGCGCACAGAGTCTTGAGTCCCCCACAAAACCCTTGAGTAGAATCCAAGTCAAGCCGCCATTGTGATTTAAGTCCGACTCGATAGCGATTTGCAATTTGCAAGTCCCCATTCCTGACAAAACCCTTGAGTAGAATCCAAGTCAAGTCGGACTCGACAGCGATTTGCAATTCCTGATCATTATCATCACTACCTTAGAACTGCAAAGCTAGAAGGGGCCTTAGGGATCATGGAGTCCAACCCCTGAAGTCCCCATTCCTGATCATCATCATCACCACCTTAGAACTGCAGAGCTAGAAGGGCGCCTTATGGATCATGGAGTCCAGCCCCTGACAAAGAGACCCAGCGGGGAATTGAACCCCCAACCCTTTGAGTAGGAATATCTGAATCTACCTTTTGGAGGACTTTATCGCCCTCTCTTTTTCTTTTACAGTAAATCTCAAGTTCTTTCTCGCTCATGGAGGAAGGAAAAGGGGGATTTTGGGACACGGAAAACAGGAAACATAAAACACATGGTCATTGAACAAATTCAGGGACACGGAAAACAGGAAACATAAAACACAGTCATGGTCATTGAACAAATTCATTGTTTACGCCTGTTCTCAGCATGAACAGAATCATGTTGGGTGTCTCTTTGCTGTGCGGCTGTTAAAAGGTTGGGGTCGGAAGAAGGAGAAGTGCCAGCCTCATTCCGAACCACAAATGGGATCCAAAAGTAGGATTTTAAGGCTTAAGCTCTCAACGGCCAGAGGTTTGGTGGACAGATGTGTCATGGGGAGACAATGAGGTCTCTAAAAGCCTGGAATTAGTAGATAAATAAGAAGTTTGTTGGTTTCATCCAGACTATTCTGATCCCATTTTGGATCACCCAACCGTTCAGGAGTTTTTCTTTGGGGGGGGGTTCCTGTTGCGGATTACCTGTTACAGGATTCTTTGGAGAGAGATCCTACAGCAGTGCTTCCTAGCTATGGGTCCTCAGAGTTTCTTGGACTCCAACTTCCAGAAACCCTGAACAGCACAGCTAGTGGTGAAGGCTTCTGGGAGTTGCAGTCCAAGAAGATCTGGGGACCCAAGATTGGGAACATCTGACCTATAGGAATTGGATCTTAAGTGTGCTACAGTCAACTGCCCTCCAAAGGACTAACAGAAGAAAATCTTTATTTCATGGTCCACAAAAACAATTTAATCAGTCAGTCAAAACCCTTCAAATGCCCTAAATACCCACAATCAATTCAGTGATTATCAAACTGTGATCTAAACACTTAAACCCATCAAAATAATGATTTCCCCCTTACAGCAAAAAATGGAAAGATGAGAACTTTTCGAGACAGGGTAATTCTTTTTAGAGGCGTAGAAGTAGTGATAAATTAAAACCCCTTTATATCCCAACTAGCTTGTATAATTATTCATCGGCTGGAATTATTATGTGGCTATAACCCTCTTTTTCATATATTGCTCACTTTTCTCCACAAAGCAGAAAGCGCACAGAATAAACTTGTAGCTATTAATAAATGTCACCGGAATTATTGTTATTTTTTAATTTGAGACAGATGTGCATTATGGCTCTGGTGCATAACCAAATTTCGTGGAGTTTAATAGAAAACTAAGCCATGGGGAGACACGAACTGGAATATCTGGTAGACTTTAGACTTCAAAAAGACATTGAAGATGAATGCAGTGGAGGGAATCATTGGAGGAAAGGAGGCCAATAAAGATATCCTATTCAAGTGGCTCAGCATTCAGAAAGAGAAAGGCTTCTGTGTCTAAGATGCTGTGTTTGAAAAAGTGAATGTGAGCTAAGAGAGGCAGTGGAGAGTTCTAAGAAGGGCTTGGAAGCCACTTCTTCTTTCATAGTGGCATCGTACACTTGAGGGAGATCAAAGCTAAGTTCCAACCAGACCTTTGTCCGGAGTGTCTCGTTGTAAAATGGGAACAACTGCATTCATACATCACCTTGAGCAAGAAGCCTCACTAATTATATTCTTGGATAATTCCTCCTTGTATTTTCAAAGCACTTATTCTGCTAAGCAGACAGGTCAGTTTTGCAATGAACAAAACCTTCCAAGCTATCGAGCAACGTGATAGTTAATGGAAGATGTTGGTTTACAAATAAGGTTTATTTATATACTTAAAACAACAACAACATTAATATGCTGCCATGTGATTATGGCTACACTTTTTAGGTTTTCCAGGTAGAGAATACTCAGAAATGGTTTACTATTCCATTCTTATGGGGGTGATCTGAGACTGTGCAGCTGGCCCAAGACCACACAGGCTGGCTCTGCTTTGCAGGAGGCACAGTGAGGAATCAAATTCCCAACCATTGGCTACCCCATGAGAGACTTAACTCACTGAGCTATGTAGCGGCAGAAATGGATCATAAATAGGCTCCGTGATGACTACAGATGGTGACAGCAGCCACAAAATTAAAAGACGCCTGCTTCTTGGGGGGAAAGCAATGACAAACCTAGACAGCATCTTAAAAAGCAGAGACATCACCTTGCCGACAAAGGTCCGCATAGTCAAAGCTTTGGTTTTCCCAGTAGCGATGTATGGAAGTGAGAGCTGGACCCTAAAGAAGGCTGACCACTAAAGAATTGATGCTTTTGAACTGTGGTGCTGGAGGAGGGACTCTTGAGAGTCCCCTGGACTGCAAGGAGAACAAACCTATCCATTCTAAAGGAAATCAACCCTGAAGCTGAGGCTCCAATACTTTGGCCATCTCATGAGAAGTGAAGACTCCCTGGAAAAGATCCTGATGTTGGGAAAGTGTGAAGGCAAGAGGAGAAGGGGACGACAGCGGATGAGATGGTTGGACAGGGTCTCCGAAGCTACCAAGATGAATTTGACCCAACTCCAGCAGGCAGTGGAAGACAGGAGGGCCTGGTGTGCTCTGGTCCATGGGGTCAC